TCTGGAAGGCGCTACAGGCAAATGAGGATCAGGACAAACAGACTCAAGAACAGTTTCTTCCCCAGAGCCATTGCCGCCCTCAACTCCGACCTGCACTGACGGACACTTTTCACCTGGTTTGCATTATTCCCCAAGCCATTGCCCCCCCTCAACTCCGACCTGCACTGTCGGTCACTTTACACCTGTTTTGCACTGTCACAGAATATAATGACAATAAAGGCTTTTTGACTTTTGACTTTGATTTCTTTTTTTTTTGGTTCCATTTCCAATGGAATAAAATTCCCTCCATGCCCCGGCAGCCTCATCTGAAGCAATCCAGCTGTTGAATATTTCATGTTTTCAGCCAATGAAGCCAAAGTTACACAACAGAAGGAATGTCCCACTTTCACCTCCTTTGTAGAGAAGATCGGATCCGATATTGCGGAGGAACCAGACCCACTATTCTACCCGGCAACCTTCCAGGAGACGTGCAGAGCTGGTTGCTTTCAACCAGGGGTGGAATTTTCTTTACCTCATTGAAGGTGTAAAAATCCTCCACCTTTGATGCTGTAACCTTTGCGATTATATTAGAGGGACATTTATTTATCTAAGACGTTTTATTCTTTCACGGGTATATTTTATTTTTTAGGTAAGATGATCTTAAAATAATGAAGGTGTCTTTTGATCGGATTAAAAACCAACAGTGTGAGGTATGCTAAAAAAAGCTCAGTAATCGGAGAGAATTTTTTTCCATTATTATTGCACAGAAATAAAATATTTTGTAAACAAAAAACTTTAAAAAATGCAATCCATTAATTAAAATCATAAAAAAAAAACAAAAAAAAACAATTCAAAATAGTGGTAAAAAAATGTCACCGTAGGGGCCGCTACGCTGACATTCCCTGGTGAGAAGCTGGCATTTATATAGGTCAATTTGGAAATGAGCAACAACATGTAATTTGGCTTCAAGTGTAGATAATGTAATCTGTAAAAACATAATTTGTGTTGTGACCGTCACTATGTGTAAAGCTGCTGCTACACTGCAATTTCCCAGCTTGGGATAAATAAAGTACATCTATCTATCTATCTATCTATCTATCTATCTATCTATCTATCTATCTATCTATCTATCTATCTATCTATAATTTGAAAAAAATAAAATAAAATTTTTAAAATTGCAAAAATCTGTACATCTATAAAAAAACAAAACTTGAAAATTGAAAATACCTTTTTTTTTTTATTTAAAGTCTTTCAGTTTCATCTCTAGATTGCATTTTCTTTTCCAAATTTCCACATACAAAACTTGTTCTTTGCAACAATAATGGAACAAAATTAACTCCATATAGTTGCCAATTAACTATTGGCCTATAAAAACATGAGGCATTTTAAAAAGATTTTGTATGCGTTAAATAAAAATTTGATTGGATCGTCTGAAATACTTTTTCACTCATAAATTCAAACTACCTACTCCCTTATTAACATTTTAGTAAATTTAAGCTTTTGCATCAAAGTTCTATTTGAAGAACATCTTCCATCCAACCAGCATTTTAAAAAGACTTTCTGGTATTTTTGAAAATATTCTATTTTCTTTATTATGATGCATTAATATGAAGTCTAGTCTCTTGTTGCCTTTCTCCCTTTTTTTTCTGCTGTACTGCCCTCTGCTGGCGTAAAGCAGTCGGGTCATTAGTGCTGCAGGTCTGTCCTTAACCAGGCAAACTATAACTGACACTAATAAAGACAAAACTGAAATTACGCATTTCAAGAAAAACAAACTAGCCCAGCTAACAAATATTTATAACAAAATAGAACTAGAAAATAATTGAAAACCAGAACTAAAATATAAACAATTAAATTTCCAAAATTATTTAAACCTTGGTCATCAGCACAAGTTTTCCCAGTTGAATTTTAAAGATAGATGGTGTCATAATCTGAATTTTAGGATTGTTTTCTTGAGAAAATAAAGAAGAGATTATATCATAAAATATGTCAGGGTCTGGAGTGAAAGCGGTAATGTATCTGGAATGGAACCCTGATCAGTTCCATCTCCTCAGCTTTTCTGTACCTCTCTGGCGTCCAGCAGGTGGTCTGGCACCAGGGACTTCTTGCTGGAGTAGATGGAGCCCTTGTGGCTCTGCCCCCAGCCGAACAAGGCGTTGGCGTTTTGGCTCGGCCGCCGGAGAGACATGGGGGAGCCGGCGCTGCTTTGAGACGCCACAGAGTAGCTGCGGGAATCGGGAGGGGGATTACTCTGTGAAAAATAAAAAAACAATCATACATAAACCTCAAATATGGAGCAGAACTGATGTATGGATTATTAAAGTTGTTCTTTTAATAAAAAACTGCGCTCATACTTATGTCAGGACTTTGACTAGGCCGTTCTAACACATGGAAAACGATAACAAAACGTTTCCCCCGTGTCATGCACTGTGTTCTATCTAATACCATCCAAAAATAGAAGTAAAGGCTTTTTAAACCATCCATTACCGATGTTATAAACCTGTCTAAAAAGGTAATCTATTGTGTTTTTGCCTTAAATGCAAAATTAAGCAGAAATTATTTTGACTACTGCTCAAAAAATATAAATGGACTTTTAGTTATGTAATCAATTTGCAACAAAAGGCCTAATAGACAAGATTAGCAGAAAAACTGTAATAAACACATTTCTATCAGTAGAAACCATTTTTAACCAATAAATAACACTCAGCATGGCACAAATATTGGAAAAACAGCCAAAAATAAAAAAAATATTTTTTTTCCCACATGGAGGTCTGCTTGTTTGTGTACAAAATAACTTGAAAAATTAAGGATGAATCTTAAGGATTGATTTTAATGACATTTTTATCAGAAGTGTTCCTCATGCCAAGGAACAATCTGCTAAATTTAGCAGATGATCCAGATTATATTTTTTAAAGGATTCTCTGACGTTGTGGTATAGGGATATTTGGCCGAACAGGCAGTACCCCACTAAACCAGAGGGTGGCAGCAGTGACTACTGAGCGCATCAGTCTCAAAAAGTTTGGACATTTTTTACTGAAGACAAAAGCACAAGAAAAAGGAATATTGTTGGTTTATTAGCAGGATCGTTTGGGTAATGATCCAGATTGTGTGAGAGTTTTAGTAATTTGGGGCAAATGTTGCAGCTTTGCAAAGGTCTGCGTTCTCTGAGTGCTTTTCTAAAGCTTATAATCGTTGTGATTAATGAAAATATCGTATTTTCACAACTATAAGGCACATATAAGCATCTTTTTTTTCCCTCAAAATGTGTGGCGCGCCCTATGTGTGTTGTTACTGCGGACGTTGTCGAGACCACCATGAGAACGTTAAAGGGGGAAGTGTGGGCGTGGATTGTGTATAAAAGAACAGGTATGCAGAACTCATCATCTCCTCATTGAGGAGATGATGAAAGAGTGGCTGAGGGAGGTGAATGTAAGGAGACCAGGTGGTTTTTTCCACGCATCACCATCACCTGTTAATCTGTGACTCCATGCGTGCCAATCTCACAGCTGATGTGAAAAAAAAGGTGAAACAAATAAACGCTGTGCTTGCTGTTATTCCGGGAGGTCTGACAAAGGAACTTCAACTGCTCGACATCGGTGTGAACCGGCCGTTAATGCTGCTTTCACACCGGACACAGGTGCAGCAGAAGCAGTGAGTTTACATGCAAAGTCGATTGTTGACACGCGTCAAGGCACAGCAAAAGGTTTTGAGCAGCTTTTCCATCTCGAGCAGC